CCAAAACGAGAATAATCCAAACCATTTTGCAAACACACCATTACAAGCGACAAATGATTGTCAAAAACAGTACTTTAGAAATATAAATTGGTGTCAAATTAATTCTTATATACGAGTTATTCAAGTACCGTAATACCTGTCTTAGGAAACCATGCAATACTAAGTCAATATCAGAATAAGGGGTGCAATACTATCTAGGTAAGATTGCACTCTATTTTAGGGTAAATTGTACTTTTTATTGAAAATGACATACTATTGCATGCATTGTGTGCTTTTTAAAAAACAGTAAATTTGTTTTAAAAGTAGTTTTATCTAAAAAACGTTGGCTTAACGATTGAATATCCATTTCCTGTCAAACATTGTGTTTAATGAGAATAAAATGTCTCAAAATTTTGAATTGTCTGCATTTGCAGTTTTAACAAGTTATAAACATTGATATGAGTGTAGACATGCGAAGAAGTAATAGATTTTGCAGAAGATTTCTCTGAATTGAATATTAATTAATTGTTAATCAAATGTAATACTAATAATAAATACTTTGAATTTATAAACTGTATTGAATTTCATATACTATTGCATGCAATGATATGTCATTTTTAGTGAAGGGGTGCAATACTACCTAGTTAAGATTGCATATGATTTTGAAAAACATGATTTTACTGAAATTGACTTAGTATTGCATGGTTTTCTAAGTCAGGTATTACGGTAATAAAAGTCTAACTGAATTGTGTCGAAAAAATCAACGAAATCTTCACAGTTTTGCCAATTAATCTTCATTCCAAGCATAACAATATTTGGTCGCAATTTTCCCATTCCTACCGACTGTTCACACGTTCATTGCGATTATAATAAGATTACAATAAATGTTGTATTTAAATACCTGGATCATTAACTTCACTCCTTTGGACAGAGATTCTTCTTCTACTAAAGTGTAAAACCCCTTAACTTTTCTCTTGAGTAACCATTGATTAGACTCATCGATGAGAGAATTACGGCTTCTCTGAGACATTGTACCCTTAAATACAGAGAAAATTAATTCACATTTTTGTTTTTTTAAGGAAACAAAAAATATGTCATTACTTCCACGACATGTCCGCACACTATAAGTCCTATTCCTTTAGAAATACAATTTGCAAAATCAACAATTGGTGGCCGAGAACTCGGTTTTCCCGTTAACACTAGAATTTGAGGCCTAATTCATTTAAAAATAATTTCAATGTTATTTTCTTAGAGAGAGAGAGAGAGAGAGAGAGAGAGAGAGAGAGAGAGAGATTGTAACCTGAAATTCTTGACGTGATCGGGCACTAAATTCAAACG